CCCCTCCGCTGCCGTCTCCAGAGCCCCGAAGTGCGACGAAAGTGCCGCGTACGGCGGAGGTGCCATATGACTTGAGGGTTCCTCGCTCGCTTCGTCGTCCGAGCTCTCCTCCGCGGGAGCGGTGCCATCAAGCAGCTCCTTCATCTCGTCCACGGCGTCCTGCTGCATGGCTTCCACAACATCCGGCTAGTCCTCCACCGTCGCCCACACTTCAGCCGCTCGCACAGCGGCAGCATCGGCGGGCTCTCCCGCAGTGATGCCCAGGGCCGCCAGCATTTCTGTCAACTCCGTGTCAACACCGTAGGACTTCTCCTGTGCTTCATGCACCCGTGAGCTCATGCTGGTGAGGGTCTTTGCGAGAAGATCCACAGACTCCTTGTCTGCACGCCCCAGCACTGGCCCTCCCGCCGGGGCCGCGGAGCCACTCGGCCTGTGCTTCCCGTGCGCAGCCGTGAGCTCAGCCTCCATATCTTCGGGGAGCGTCTTGGCCTTCACGAAGCACCTGGTGGGCGAGGTCTGGGGTAAGCAGCGGCACCTTCGCAATAGAGAGGGTGCCGGGCACAAGAAACGAGGACATCTGTTGGCAAACAAGTTATCGAGCGATTTCAAATTCATTTGTCTTTCCCACAGCGACACGAAACAGCTAAAGGGTTCAACCCTGGCACACAATCATACATCAGATGTACACCGGTTTCTACCTTTGCAGATGGAAGAACCGGACACCACTTGTATTTTCGAAGCAATACCTGGGGATGGTCGTGGGGGTGATGCTGCCCCAGGCGGTCTTGAGAAGGTCTGCCGCGTCCAGCACGTGGGGGTGGTTTCCCTCCGCCAAGCCCGCGGTCCCGCGCGCCATCTTGCGGCTCTTGGCCTCGGCGCGCAGTGCATGAGCCACGAGCATGGTTGACACCTTGGCGTCGAGGAGCTCCCTCCTGTAGATCACCTTGGTGGCCGCGATGATCCCCATGTCCATGGGCTGGTGTACGCTGGTGCAGTTCGGTGGGTACATCACCACCTCCACCTGCCCGACAGGGTCGATCAAATCACCGTGCGACGAGCAGCCATCCATGAGCAGCAGCACGGGCTCGTGAGTCCAGCGCCGAATGAAGGGTAAGAAAACCTCCTGCCACCACTTCTTGAAGGTCGGCCCATCAGACCACGCGTTGCTTTGCGCGAAGTACTTGAGAGGACATTTCCGGCGCCTGAAGCAGCGCGGGTTCTTGGCCGTGCCGATGATCGCCAGTGACACTTTCGCAGTGCCAGTGGCATTCGCGCACATGATCGCAGATATGCGATCCTTGAACTCCATGTTCTTGCTCCCTCTAGTGGTCTTCCGATCCTCGAACGCGGCGAGATACGTCCTCCTGGCTATGAGCTTCCACTGGATGCCGGTCTCGTCGACGTTGAAGATGTTCCTCGCCGGGTACTTCTCGCAAGCAGCGCGGACCTCCTCCATGCCCTCTTTGATGCGGTCGTGGTCGACGCTGCCGGCCGTCCCATGCCGTTGTGGCTGTGGAGGTCGTTGCGCTTCACGAAGTTCTTGCTCCACTTGTCGCCAGCCTTGAAGTCCTCGAGCCTCTTCCTCACAGAGTCAGTCGTTTTCGCCGAGCCCAACAGGGTGGCCTTGGCAGAGCGGCCGAACGATCGGATGACGTTGCCGGTGACGGTGTACTTCGCCATCCGCGCCCTGTTGACGAGGTCCAAAACTAAAGAATCCAACTGTACAAAGTCAGCAGCAAGCACCACAGGGTTCCAATCGGCGTGCGCGGGTTAGAATAGTACTGCTTTCACGGATGAAAAGTATCACAAAGTTACGCACCAGCACCAAAGTTCACGCACGCAGAGACTACACTTGTGGAAAGGTTGACGTTTGCCGACCCTAGCCAAAATGTACATGCAGATAAAATGAGCAGTGGAAAAAAAATGTACGTAAAAATGTGTGCGCCTTTTTTGTTGTGTGTGGGTGGTGCATCAGATGTAAAATGTTCGTGATGCTTCCAATGCAGTTGACCGCGCAAAGCACAATCTCAGTGCATATCCAGACTGCTTTGGGGGGGGTCGCTATTTGCACACATCAAGCACTGCGATTTTTCTTGAAAGTGCGATATGTACCGAGAGGTACAAACGGCAGGCTGAAAATAAAAAAAATCAACATCGAGTGGTACAAACGGCAGGCTGAAAAAAAAACAACAACAGGAGCATACCTCTGGGAAATCCCCCGCCCGAAGGTTCTTCCTGGTGGTGGCGCTGCTGCGAGTTTTGGCGGCCTGATTCTCTATCTTCGCCCGCTCGGCCTTGACGGTACGCACCGTGCGCTCCCCGCAGTTGAAGTGCTCTACGATCGACTTCTGCGTCCGTGTGCCCTTGTCCAGAAGACGGAGGATCTCCATCTTGGTGCCGATGTCCATCCGCGTGCGCGAACCAGTCATGTCCGGGTGGTTGGCTGGTTTCGTTTTTTTTTGTCTTGCCGTGTCTCCGCTCTCCGTGGCTGACCCTTTGGGCTTGCCCTTGCCAGCTGTCGAGGCACTACTACCCTTTTGCTTGGAGGCAATGCATGCAAAGCAGATGCGGGCGGTTTTGTACTCCGCATCTTGGTCTTGTTCCCCACACAGTCCGTGCAGTCTGCCGCCACACCCCCCGTGACATTNTGCAAGTGTGACAGACGATTTCACCGGCCTTAATAAGGGCCACCGGCCTTAAATTTGCGGCCTTAAACAGGAACCTCTACTGCACTCCAGATTCGGATCTGTCAAAGCCCTAGATCAATCCTGGGCGGCATCTGCCGTGAACTGTGTCTGCGGAACCGTATTTGCAGGCACAAGCCGTCAGATCCTCCTCGATATAGGTCGCCCCTTTCGGTGCAGTGTTTGAGAGCGTCGGGTGCGGTACACAGCAGCCATCGTGGGCGCTCACGAATGACAGCTACAACATGCGGTCTCAATGGTGATTCTGTTAGACTACAGCAGTAGCAGCGCGAAAAAACAGCCTGACAGGAGATGTGAAGCGGTCTACCCCGTCGAATTCCACGCGCGCGCAGCCCCCACGGGCAAAAGGTTGAGGTTCGGACATTGGCTCGGGTGCCGCAGCCTACGTACATAACCATGTAGATACCACGTGCGGCACGAGGCAGCACTTTGTTGAGGTGAAAATTGTGCACAACAACCAGGGGCTAGAATCTTGCCAGAGGCGATGTACCGCTTGCTATGATCAAGTCGCAAAGATTTTAGCACGAGTTGCCTATCGCGTCAACGAAAGAAAATGATAAAATCGTATACGTGCAGTAATTCCAGGACGATACCAAATCTGGGGATGAACAACTTTCGTCCCCGCGGGGATTCCTTTCACGTCCCCTTTCGGGGACAAAAAGCAGCACAGGTCACAAAAGACACGCCCGTGGAGAGTGATGCGAAGCACCTCTGCGTGTCTGTCATATGTACAACTGTATTCTCCGGCCCGTACTTGTAGCGTGTACGCGCATGTCCTGCTGGTTGCGGGGGGACACAGAAAAAACGCTTGATTCACGATCCCATTTGCCGAAAAGGGTGGTCCTATATTCGAAACAGGGCACAGCCTCTACTCTGCAGCCTATACAGATGCAACGCACGAACATCTCAGGCACGCAGGTTAGATACGGGTGTGCCATCGGATTGCGCTTGAAATATGATACCCATAATCACAACACCAATCAGAAGAGCAATGTTTTGGGTTGCACGCACCAACTTTAGGTGAAGAATCAGCAGACATCTTTGGTAGTTACATGTATGCATATGCATACAGGCCTCACCAAGCCGACAGGGAGGGGCTGGATGCGTCATCTAAGAAAGACACACAGGGGAGTTGATCCGCCTCGATTGTTGGAATATGACGTATGCAATAATTGAAGATCAACAGCAATAGATAAAGAGTTCCAGCAACTTCTCAAGAGACAATGCGATGTGTTCCTGTGAAGGCAGAATGTCACTAGTCTACATGTCTTGTGATATTTGTACCTACACAGCTACACATGTCTTTGTGATTGGCACTTGCTGGCATCACTGATAAAATGTCAGTGTATAGGCTTAAACAGACCCTAAATAAGCCCAGTATCCAGCCGGTTTCTTCCCACTCAATGTCAAGACTTCAACATATCCCCTTCGACGGTGGTCTTTCTGTGAGGTCATGTGTACTTTTCTAAAAGGAGGAGCGAGGATTCACAGCAGTAGGAACGTACCAGAAATCTCCCTCCTTCGCTTCTTGCCTGCGTCTTCGTCGTTCTTCACGTGGGAGGGGCTCACTCTGACGAAAGCGTTGAATGAACTTGGCCACCGTTGTTGACGAAGATCGATCCATGTTCGTAAATTGGGGGTGTAGAGAAGAGTCCTGCAGCGAGGCTGCTGTACACTACTTTCGGCGTGGACAGCGACCGTTCGTGAATTCTCCCCGCTACACCGTTAGGAAACATAAATACAAACACAGAAAGACCACCTGCTTGAAGTCTACCGGTGAGACGGCTCACGTTCCGTTGGCAACCGTTGCACCAATACAAGGTTTTCGGGAGGATGTGCTCCCTGCTTCGTCCTCGTTGGTTCGTCTGGCTGGGCCGTGTGCCCGTCTGCGCCCTGTCTCTGACTAGCTGGTGCCCGCGTGCCCCCTTTCCGATAACCAAAGTCGACAGTCCCGTGGAAATCATGCTTCCACGTCTACCTCCAACAACACCCAACTGTCGTCCTTGTGCCCGACGCTCCACGCCGAACACCCCTTGACAACTCACCGCGAGTGCAATGCGCGCACATACTCGTGCGATTGCACCGGCCCTTCCGCTGGTGTATGCCCTTCGTCTTTCATGGGCCGAGCCAAAAGCCCTCTTCTCCGCCGCTCGACGCATACCGGCATTCTCTACTGCAGCACCACAAACATTCACCAACCTTCGGGATACCGGGCACTCCAAACCTCGCAGCACATGGCAACTTTTCCCTTGGGCTCACGCTCTGCCACTCGATGTACCTGCACCTGGTCGGAAGTCTCCGCGTGTGGTCGACGACATGCGGATGGATGTTGGTGAAAGATTCACCCTCCCAGGTAATGCTGGTGTGAAGAACGAGTATGTTGTAGGCTGTCTAGATATAGGGGTGCGCACAGCAGTAGCGTCTGTGTACTCTTTGCTCCCATGTTTGGTGCTTCCCTGTGCATCGCGTTGTTCACACGGCTGTAGAACACGCTGAACTATAGCAGTACACATGAACCTGTAAATGGAAGCAACTGGCACAGCGCTACAGCAGTAGTAATATCGTGCTTCTCCTCTGCAACGCTTGTGGGCAGGACAGATGGCCAGCCCTATCTCGGTCCTCTTACGGCTAATTGCAGCGTCAGATCCGGGAACCTGCCACTGCTGTTGTCCGCCCGGCGTGTTGGTCACGCTGGGGCGGTTGACCTTTTCCGCACTAATCCTCAGCAGCATGAAGTCGTTGCAGTTTAGACTGCACCGTGTTGAAGAATAGACTACACTCGTTTCCCATTCACCACATTGACATGGTGACCAGGTTCTCTGTGGCAAGATTGCCAGCTGGAAGCGATGCGATCGCTGCATCACCCGTGGACCCTGGGACTGGCCACCGGAAAAACAAGTCTCGCCAGCTTCAAGAACTACGTCGCTCAGGATGCCTACTTTTTGAGAGCGTTCGCGAAGGCCTACGCCTACGCCCTGGCCAAGGCGGAGGACGAGGAAGATATCCGTGCCTTTCACTCGCTGATCGGGTCTGTGTTGGAGGAGCTTGGTCTTCACGCCTCCTACTCGGCGAAGTGGGGAATTGACGTGGCGAACGTGAGAGCCAAAACGACTGGTGTTAAATTGCAAATCGGGTCCTGTACACCCCTGAATTTCGGTCTAACAGGGGTGTGGAACGTTGTCCATTGTCGTTTCGCCTCCGTAAAGCTGCACAGCGACTGGGCGCATCTTTTGTATCCCATCAATCAGGGTAACAGGGCTCTTAGGCACAGCAATTTCGTTGAAAAAATCGTCCCGAACACCGTGGCGCTCTCCCTTTTCAGACACCTCCTCCAGTTAAGGCAACTGCAGAGTATGTGGACTTCCTTATGGCCGTGGCATCGGACCCGACATCTTCAGTTGCCCAAGTGCTTGCCGCGATGGTGCCATGTATGCGACTGTACGCTTTTCTTGGCAAGGTGTGAAGGCGTTGGTTCTGACTTGGAGGGTAGGGCGAGCACGGGCTTTGTCCCGTCGCTCTTGGTTAGCCACTTGCGCTCCCAATCGTGGTTTGTTTTCCATTTATGTCGGTTTGTCCAGCAACGTTTGCTCCCGGCGAAGGGGCGGTCGAGTATCGTACGCAGCAGTTGAAAATAGTCCCAGCTCTCTACAGGAAACAAGCAAATGCAGGTTTCGGCAAAAGAACTGGGAGAGCGAGCTATGAAGTACGTGTTAAGCGTACGTCCCAAGCGCGACTTTCGGAGTGTCGTCACGATGGATCATCTCTTGTGTGTTGGGGTGTAAACCTAGGGTCCGGTGAACAGAAAACCTGTGTGCAGGCGACGCTCATTTGCTGGTCTGTACCTGGCGAGCCTGCAGATTGGCTTATATCGACGGCAGTTCCACCAATGCAATGTTATGACATTCGCCGACGTTCTGTCTTCCTTATTTGTCGCTCAGGAGCTTCGGGATGCCCTGCCGAATTGGACAGAGAGCCCCTACGCCGAATGGATTGAGACCTATAGCTCTGAAGACTTTGAGGTGGGCTGGTTGGGATCATCTGTGCCCGAGACGCGTCCTGTATCTGATGTGTGATGTATGCACGCAACGTCGGTGTTTTGTTCCAGCCAAGATGTTGGAATGATAGCAGTGCTGCGAACCTGTTTTGTTACTCTATGAACGTTTCGCAGGGAGGGAGCTCCTCTTGGTTTACCACATTGTACCTAACCCTATTTATCACCCGTGATCCGTCCTGCCCGTCGCACAGGATGCTGCTGGCCTAGTGGAGTCACTTCTGGATAAAAACTCGGCTGGGGCTGACTATCCTTCCCTCTTTGCTCTCTGCCGCAAGGTACCATGCGGTGTGAGAGACTCATTGCTGCAACTTTAGGCTGTTGCCAAGCAGCGTCCGCGGCCGTCGTTTGTGCGCCTTCTGCATAGTGATGTTAGCGATGCTATGCGGCAAACGGTCTCAAGCCAGGTATTTTGGCTGGCCTAAGTGACAAACGTTCAATCATACCGTGACTGCCCTTGTGTTTGTTTTTTCATACACTCCAGGCCATGGAATTGGAGTTTGCGTTCTTCGATGCGCAACTCGACGGGGTCACCGAAGCTGCCATGCTTGAGCAGTCGGTAGGCGCAGAAGCAGGTGGTCGACAAGGCATGAGTGTCCAACCGGGAGGGAAAGACGCTGGGGGTCGCGGGCGTTTCCGCGGCGTGCACGAGCGGCTTGCGCTGCTTTGTGTGGACTTCGATGACACGTTGACCGAAGGCGACACCACCAGCCTTCTCGTGGAGACAGCCAAAGCTCAGGTGAGATTCGGGTGCTGTGTAACGCTTGCAACGTTTTTTCTCGGTTCAGAGATACACGGTCTGCCAATCTTCCATCTTTCCATCTTTGCGGGAGCAGTTGTAGCCGAGCAGAAGACCTAAGTTCCACAACCCAACGGACGCTTGGTACGTTTGAAGATCCATCGCCTTGCTGACCGTCGTGATGTCGGACGAATCCTGTGCTCGGCAGCGGGAGACTCCAGAAGATCGGGTGGATCTCGGGCGCGAGTGGGTGCTTTTGACAAGAACATTTTTGAGCAAGTGGAGCGAGACAATTGAGGACAGCTTGTCCACCAAGGTAATTTGTTTCAATTTTTTTTTATGGTAGTGTTGAGACGACGGTTGCTGTTGTGCATTCGTACGTAGCCCGTTCCGGCTCAGGCCAGTCTGCCAGCGGCGCTTGCAGTGACGGTATCGAAATCAAGCTATACCTTCTTTCTTCTGTTCTTTTTGCTGTTTGCTTCCTTTTCTACTCCGTCGCGCACCTCACGGGGATGGATATGCACCGGGGCTATTGGTTGGCGATCATGGACTGTGGTAGCCGAGTAGAACGCGGTGTCGCCATCTACCGCGCACGTTGGTGTTCTGTCGCACAACCTTGTATGTATGATTCCTTAACCGTAACCCACCTGAACCCTGTGGCATGCGCAAGAGTGTGCTTACAACGCCTCTTATTGGCTCCGTGCGTACGCGCTTTGTGCTTGGGCGGGGCCATTTGTCGTGCAAGCTCTCCACCACTGCGTGCACCACGAACGGTTCTGGAGCTGTCGACCGTGAAGGTTTGGAGTTGATGCTGCGGAAGCTGGAGGTGGTGGACCTTGACTCGGCGTCTAGGGTTTCCGACAGCAAGGTGAGGGAGCTGGCACGAGAGGTATGTAGTGCTGCAGTCGTTGGCGGCGTATGTCTTGCATGCTTTGTTCAAGTATCTTTTTAGAGATGAGGTTATAGAGGCCGGAACTGCCCACGAAAAAAACTTACCATACACGGACGCATGTCAGATCGTCCCATTGTTGTTAGAAAATATTTGTTTTCCGTGGAGTTGTCTTGTTCGCTTGAGCCCAAAGAGGAGTGCTTATAGTGCCCGACGGAAAATGAGTCACCTCCTGTTCTTTCTTTGACAGAATTTTGTGTACGATCATGTAGAACATCGTTGATCACCTTTGTCGACAATACATTTCGTTGGTTTTCCTGCTACCTGCTTGAGTTTTCGCCGTGTTTGAGCAAGTCAAGTAACCTAAAACTGCGTTACGACATCATGAGGGGGCGTGGAAAGGCTTCTCGTACTAATTTGTCTCTCCTGGTGCCCCGTCGCGTATCGTAAGGTACTGCAAGGGCTAACAAGAGATGAGGTACACTCATCCCTTGCTGGACCGTTGAGGTCGTCCTGGAGAGTGCGTCCAGGCATGGCACGGTGCATGTCCCGTGCCTTGGTCTCTCCGTTCCAAACCCACGTCGTGTCTATCAATTGGAGCCAGGACGTCATTTCGAGAGTTCTTTCGGAGACAGTGTTGGATAGTCACAGGTGGGTGGCTTGGCGTCACGCAGAGCTGGTTTTACCCCACCAAGGAGAGTTATGCTTTCGGGTTGGTGATGGCTCCACTCGAAAGTATCAATTGAATATCGACAGATCCGACGATATTTTCTAGCAGCAATCATTGTGCAAAGGGAACCTGGTACGAACGCTCAGATGATGTGATTGATCAACAGGCCCGGGTGCAGCGAATTCCGTAATCGACCTTACCCCTTCCCCGTTGTCGTCGAGGTCCCGTGTGGGCTGGCCGGCATCGTGCAGTGAGAAGTTAAAGTCGGTCGATGACGGGATCGAAAGCTGCCATGACCTGTGCGGCTTCAGAGTCCACTTAACATTGTCGGTGCTAGCCCCCGTCGCCCATGCGGCCGATATGGATTTTGGTCCAATTCTGCCCTCTTCCCACCTTGTCCCCACATATGGTTTACTTTTTGCAAAGTTCACCGTTACCTGGCCTAACCGCCTCATCTCACCCGCGTGTATCTGTGGAAACTGCCAACCTATCGACAGCTCTTCGTCCTCAACGAGAGGGATCGATGCGGGGGGTCGTGTTTGGGCAGGTAGGCTGCGAGCTCTGCTTGGGAAATTTGGCCGTATTGTGTGGCTCATGCCGTGTAGTGAAAACCCAACAGGAACCGATAGAGATTATATTATGTAACCTACGACACGGTTGTGTCGCCCGACGTCGCCTTCCACATGGTATTCACTTACCATGGACCTCTGGTGTTGTGTCGCCTGACCTTGCCTTCCATATGCATTCAGATACCATCGAACACCGGTGTAGTGTCCTCCGAGCTTGAGCGAAAGGGCAACCTGAAGTCTGTATCCACCCGTTCTTAACGCATCTGTGTCCCAGGCGAAACGGCCTCGCCCCGCCTCGAAGGAGACTGCCCTGCATCCGTCTCATCCAACGACCTCGTATTCGACGAGCATGGGGTGTCAACAGGCGAGATTGCTGTGAAGATACCAGGATCGTTCGGCAAGCATCAGCGTTTCCTAGACCTAGCGGCGATGGCCCGAGAATCTGTCGCCAGCTCGGAGTCTTCGCCAAGACTCATGACGGTCTATGTGGGGGACAGCGTCACGGACTTACTGGCGATGCTGGATGCCGACGTCGGAATTGTTGTTGGCAACAGTGGCAGCTTTGAGAGAGTAGCCCGCGCTTTCGGGATTGACATTCTTCCCCTCGCGTCCGTGTACGAGGCGATGGATGGCAGAGGGGAGTTGCCAACAACGGGGGCGCCGTTAGGCTCTGGACAGCGCGTATACCGTGCTTCCCAGTGGACAGAGATCGACGTGTTTTTGTTCGGTGGCGCATGAAGGTCCCTCTTCATTGATGACATTTTCCTCTTGAAACGGCTGGCCACTGTCAACCTTTGCCTTCAAATCTTCGTCATGCCACTTCTTCACTGTCACTCCCAGTTTCTACGCACACCGCGCGGTCTTGTCTCGAAAATAAGAGCTCCGATCTGGGTTTTTTCCTGGAGTCCTCTACCGTGTTGCATGCCTTGAAGGGCACAGCAGTAGTCGCCGTAAGAAGCCGTCACATACAAAAAGCTCGGCCGTCCATTTACGTTACCGCGACATTTTGTCGCGAGCAATTTTTTTTCCCCAAGGTCTTGTCCGAAAGATTTTCTCCCCAACAAGGTGTCCCCGGAATAATTAAGCCGCATTTTTTGCAATCGCAAGATGAACTGACATCCCTCAAGGCCTTCACAATACAATGCCGGATAAACCATGTTCACATAGAAGTCGGTTCCTGCACGAAGGCACCAACTCACAAGCAATCGAGTGCTTGGTCACAGCCCACTATCACGGATTCAGGTTTGACGTGTAGGCGTTTACGGTTCAAAGGAGAAATTTAGATGCAGCTAGAGCAGCCATCTGGCTCATGCAATAAATGGGCCCGACGTGCTCATGCGCAGTCCATCTCCGTTGGTCCTTCTTGTACAACATCGGCAGCCTTGGGCGCACTGGGCTTGCTGTCCTCTCCGATATCTGTATCTTCGTCTTTTTCACAGTCATCCTTGCTTTCCAAGAGAGCCGTCGCTTCCAGCTGCTCTTGAACCAGTTGCACCTGTAGAGTCAACGAAGCGCAGTCCGAGGGGGCAGTGTGAACAGAGTAGTCCGAGTTCGGACAAGCCATGTCAAGCCATGTCTTTCAAAAGGACGGCAACACGAACAGATCGGTGAGACTTCACACCAAAATATCCGCACCTGATCCTCGAAGGCAAACTCCTCGCCCATATCCTCTTGCGCTGTTCGAATCTTAGCGAGCATCTCGGCCGCCGTATTCAAATGCGCCCTACGCTCGAAACAAAAGCACACGCACACCGAAAACACGGCATTGGGGATGGTAACCCATTATAGCTTGCAGCAAGCAAGGACGAAACGCGTTCTCATCATGTGGAGCAGTGTGGCACGCGCTGCGCAGGTGGTTGTTACGCAGTGCAGAACGTACAACATCTCGGCAACGAAATAGCCGTTTGGCCAGCTCGACGCAATTGCCCTATAGAGCAACAACCACACACCGAAGCACTTTGTTGGTGTTGTTGGTTGACCTTGCGGATTCGGCTACTTCATGCGCGATCCACTTCAAAAACGGAGGGACGGGGTGTAGCGAACAGCACTCCATACGGCGAGAAGGCTCAGTGCGCCGAAAAGCAGCTGTGGGGCAGATGAGGGGCCACAAACCCCCTTGGAGGGTGGTGTTGAGCACATGTTCTCACTCACCTGGCACTCTCGCAGTCCGGAGGTTGCAAGCTGTTGAAGGCAACCCCCATGAGATACCACAGCTCGACGTTTTCGTCATCCTCCTGCATCAGCCCAGTCAACACCTGCAGAGCCTGCAGTCGTTTTGCACCCAACACGCACGACGGCCACCAAAATAATCGGGCGAACCGCGCGTCACCCACAGAGAGTTGCATTCTTCGCTGCCACCTCTTACTCGCAGTAAGTTACGCTTGCTATGGGGTACGTTTGCTCTCCCGGGCGAGGTCTGTCTTGCGTCGAATTCAAACCGTCAGAACGAACGCCACCCTCGAAAACAGACTACGTTGTCGGGCGGATGCTCAACCTCTTCCACGCAACCACCACAGCTAGAGGGAGCGTATGGCCCCATACTGACCTTGTCAGAGCAGGACTTGTTGACGGAAGAACACTCCATCAGGACTTTCGCCAGCGAGACGCGGAATTCATGGTCTGGAGGGGGCTCTGAGGGCACCGGGTGTGGTTTAAAGTTGAAAGCGTCGGAGAGCCAAGTCAGACAACCACACGGGGTGTCTCGTTGTTTCCCGTATCTCATTACCAGTCTGCAACATCAAGCTGACAATCACCTGCCGTCGAAAGCTTCAAACTAGAACACGAACACATATACTTCGTGTATTGCGCCCGGCGGCGAAAAAGAACATTGGACGAGGCAAGCAGGTGCCAGCGTACAGTTCAGTCTTCTGTCGAAACATGCACATGGCCAAAGCTTGAACAAGCAATCGCTCGTGCAACAACGATCAGGGCCAACGAAACTCAAGGACAAGTCGTGAGGCATGTTCAGCCGCACGTTGCCGATGCAAGCACGGGCACAGATATGGGAAAAATGCACCGAAGAATGCGAAGGGGGTCATATCCTCGATTCCGGGTCGGGCTTCAACTCTCTACACACAAAAAAAAAGTCCACCCACCGCAAAGAGCGAGTCGTCGAAAAGCCTCCTCTGCCGACTGGGTCGCTTCCTCGGGCCTGCTTTGGCTGAGGCGAAGATTTGCCACGGCATTCAGCGGCTCGGGTCCACCGTAGTCATATCTCATGCTCCCATCTAGAGCATCCTGGAAGGTGACAGCCAGCCGAGAATACGTATCGCGGAATGGTCACAGGGCCACCATAGCTTCATCAGATCAGTCGATCTTTGAGGACGTTCGATTCCACGATCCAGCACCTGTAGCGGTCTCGGTCTACCGAGGCGCCTCGTATTGCTTCACACGAAACTCGAAAAACATGTGGTACGCTTCAGTAGTAACAGCAACATGAGAGCCTGAAAGCTGACGCGACTCTTGCGGTTCAATTCTCTTCACCAATACAAAGCTGCCCATCACATTGATATACACAAGAATGTCGGTGAATCAGAGGGGCTGTGAGCAAGCTGGTGGGACCCCAGGGCCAGGGTGCCAGTGACACACATCTCTTGGGGGAATACGACGCGTCAGTGACGTGGATGGCCATGTGAGGTCGTAATCCTGTTTGACTCTCGCTCTCTGTTCTCTCACCTGACAGCGGATTTCTGCGTCTTCTTCGAAACAAAGATCCGTCATGAAGAGTTCCGCCACGCTGCAGTACGCCATGCAAGCTCGCTGTCGCAACGCTGCCTCGGCCTCCTTAGTCCCGCTAGCACCACCGCCGTCGGCGAGTTGCTTTCGCAACAACTCCAGCCCCTTCTCGTAGTGTCCCAGGGCCTCTCTGCCCTCGTGCAGCTGGGCCATATATAGGTACTTATCTGGCCCTTCTTCCGGCCCCAGCAAGATACTTCGAGCCAACACCTGGTGCGCGGGGGGTGCACGGGCGGGAACCAAAACCTCTTGATGGTTGTCTTGGAAAGTCGTCCAATAAGGATAATGATTCGCAGACCGCTATCAGCCCTCATTGATGCAAAACATCTCTGATTCCTACATAGCTGTATCGCAGGAATATACAGCAGCAGTGCGCTGCAGAGCAGTGCGCTGGCAGGTGGGCATATATTCAGCATGATACATTCGCGGGCAGAAGTGCACACAAGGGAGGTGGAGACATGACTTCCACCGTTAGGTGACACAAGGCACCGCACCCCCCAGACCAATTTTCAAAGCTTGACGACTCCAGAGAAACAGAGCAGCCATGCCGAAAATGGTGGTGTGGTTGAAACGATCTCTTCGAGAGCACGTGTCACGTGATTTGTGCATCCTCTCCTTCGTGGAGTAATCAAGCTTTGAAAGTCGGTCCAGGGGGTGTGGCATCTGGTGTCACCAGGTATGCATCTACCTGCTCTGTCACCATCTCTCACCGAAACAGCAGAACTTTACCGCTGTCGTTCAAGGTATGTAGCCACAACAGTCGCGTTGTATGTGGGGTTAAAAGTACCTCCTTTGCCGCTGCCGGCTCCCCCGCGTGTAGCATGAGGTCCGCTGCCTCGCCCATGATACTGGTGTCATCAGGCCTCGCTTGCAGGAGCTTTTGGTACAAGGTTACGGCGAGAAAGGGATCTCCCGCGTTGCGAGCCTGTTCCAACAGTGCATCAACGGTATCCTTCTCCAGCACTGATTCTTGAAATCACGAAGCCGAGGCGAACAGGCATGGAGACGTAGTAAGAATGTCAGGTGGTCAGGTTGGAGGGCTTGTGCGTTACCCAGTCTCTCGGGGAGAATTAGTTTTGGGTGGCAGCTATGTACATTGCAGCGAGAAAATGGGTCGTACCTTGACCCGAAGCCTGAGATTTCCTTGCACCAGTTGCTGACTTTGCTCGACCTTTTCCATTCCCTTTCTTTCCTTTGCCTTTCCCCTTTGCGTTCGCCATCTCTCAGCTGCGGGAAGCGAGGTACACACAGCAGTAGCAGGTGGCACCGCGCCAGAGCGCGGATGCGGTGAGATTACCGAGGGGGGCACCGTGACAGGGACACCGCACCGCCAAGCAAAGTTATACGACCAATAACCAGAAACGGGTATACCCGGGTACTTTATCACCACTTTCGGGTACACTTAGAAATCAA